ATCAGAGTAGGCCTTTCCTCTTCTCCTGCATCACAAAAAAGGACCAGGACCACCACCTGTGAGGTGGTGGCACACGCCTTTAATCCCAGCTAACACTCATCTGTGCCTCCATGCCATGCTGTATACATGCACACTCATCTTTATGTCTCATTATCTCCATGCCATACCTATGAGAAGCTAGGAGTGGGCAACAGTAGTTCCAATGCTAGAGATGTGTCTTGGGTAGATGGCTAGAGATAGAATTGCTGGGTTCTCATTACTTCACCATCTTTTCTTATCTCTTTTTTTCCCAACATCTTAGGAGATGCTTGCTTCTACGGGGCTGTGTCACGTTTGAAAAGCTGTGCCAGGCTGATGGATGACAGATGATACCTTTTTTTTTGGTGTTGTTTTTCGAGACAGGGTTTCTCTGTACTTTGGAGCCTGTCTTGGAGCTAGCTCTTGTAGACCAGGCTGGCCTCGAACTCACAGAGATCTGCCTGCCTCTGCCTCCCAAGTGCAAAACCTTGTTTTTAAGACAAAAGGGGTAGCTTGAGAGATGGCTCAGTGGTTAAGGCACTTGTTCTTGCAGAAGACCTGGATTCAATTCCTGTCACTCACTGGGCAGCTCAAAGCCATCATAACTTTAGTTCCAGGGGGCCTGAAGCCCTCTGTGAACTGTCCAGGCACTAGGGACACAAATGGTGCACATACATACAAACAAAACATTCGTATGCATAAAAGAAATGAATTTTAAAGGCCCATTTGTTGCCCAGTGATTTGAGTGACAACTTTCCATCTAATTTGGAGATTTTTCTGGACTTTGAGCTCTCTCTAATTGGTTTGCTTGCTTTTTTTTTTTTTTTGAAATGCACATATAGTTGCTGATTTATTTTTTCTTTTTGGGGGCATCAGTGAAGACAGAGGCAGATAATTATTTAGAAAGAAAACAAATTTTCCTCCAGGAAAAAAAGCAGAGAACAACAGCAACAAAAATGACATAAGACTTTCTGACACATAGATTAGAATTTGGGGATAGAGAAACATGGCTTTATTCTCAAAGTCTGCAGAAAGTAAGAACTAGTGTGCTTTCCTAGTGTCTTAGTGAGGGGTTGCATGCTAGAGGGAGAAGGGCTGGAGAGCCCTTGGGAGGGACCACATCATTGTGGGTCACCTATGTTCTGCAGGCCAGGTCAGTGTGGACTCAGGGTTGAAAGTCAACTCTGAGCCATAACTAATCAGTTTAATGAAATTGTGGGGATTACACAGCTTGCTTCAAGGGATAAGTTTAGAAAGGCCAGCTCTTCTAGGTTAAGGGTCCTGTCAGGACACAGACTGGAAACAGATTTTACATAAGTCAGCCTACATTTGTTTCTTGTGCTGTGTGTTGTACAACTACGTGATTAAGAAGGGTTGTCATATTGAGAAAATTATGACTACTTATAAAACATTTTTCATAATTTAGGATATTTCAAATCCAGAAACATGACCAAAGGTTATGCTAGGCCATTTTAAATATTCAGTAAATACCCTCTTTAGCCAGGTAGCTAGCTAAGTTTACAGTACCAGGCACGAATTCTCTCCTATTGAGTGGGCCTTAAGTCCAACTAAGCAACTGTTAGTTACCCCAAGATGGTAGTGCCCCTATTGCACTTTTGGTGATTTCTTGCCTATTTTTGTACAAGTCCCCACCCAATATCATTATACAGTCATGGTGTTTTTTAATGTCCAGAGTATTTGTTTTCCTTTCCTAGGGAGCTTCTGGCTGTTTTTTTCCATGTGCCCTTTTGTATCTGTTCATGTTACTCATGAAATATTAATAGCTTGTTAGTATTTTTGCTGCGATTAAGTAGAATTTTCAAATTGACTTGGGGAAAACTCTCATCTTTGTAGTCGCAAGTCATCCTATCTAAGAATAGGAAACTTTCAAAATGAGTCCTTATATATTTTGTGCCCTGAAGAGTGTTCTAAGCTGGCATGGGGCACTTACCTGTATTCTCTGCACTGCTGAGGCAAAGGCAGGAAGATCAGTTCAAAGTCATCCTACAAAGCAAGTTCAAGTAAGACTTCATTTAAAAAATAAACAACTTTCTCCCACTCCAGAAGAGAATGTTAGATTCTCCGAGCCAAGACTGTGCATGCCTATAATTTCACCTCTCAGCAGCTCCCAGTTACCTGGGTTCCTGCCTTCAGGAGATCTAGCACCTCTCACATGGGACACACAAGACCTCACACAGGCACACAGACACATACATAAAGCATCAATTAAAATGAAAGGAAAAACCCAAAGCATTTGGTTTGTTTAGTTTTTGTTTGTTTGTTTGTTTTTTATTTGCTATAAATGCCATTTACACTTCAAATGATCTCTGGAGCTAATTGTGTCATTGTTTTCCTCATGAGAACTAACATATGAATGGTGTTCACAGATTTCCTAGTGTTGAGCCTGTCTTTCATTTCTAGAAGTTCTTCCTGGTCTTAGTGTGATTTCCTTAATGTGATGGGAGAGGTCATGTCTCTTCCTAGCTTTACTTTTTCCTTGGTATTTGTGATGGTTAGTGTTGATTGTCAATTTGACAGGACAGGGAATCAGACAAGCCTCAAGGCACCCCTGTGAGATATTATTTGGATTAGGTTAGCTTCTGGGAATTCCTGTAGTAAATCTGGAACTCAATTCCATGTACCCATGGTAAAATGTCTCCTCCTTGAGTAAACCTGTTGTATTTCTAAAAACCCAATGGGACTATTGGCAGTTAATGGTGGCTGTAGGAGCTGGGGGAGGGGTGTCATTTTTGTTAGTGGTGTAGCCATTGAAAAGTAGTCTGTGCACCAGTAAATAATTTCCTACCTATGCTCATGCAAGCAACCATGACTAAATCAAATTAAAATGTGGGAACACACATACACCGTCAAAGACCTGAAAATTGGAGGGAGACTTCATGGAAGGAGGGATGGTTTCAGTGGGAGAAGTGGTGGGAGGGTGAGAGAGGTCAAAGCCCTTTAACATCGGGTATGAACTACAGCATTTGGAGTTTGCCCTGCCGGGCTTCCATCTTGCTTTTGTTCAGGAGGTCCTCACTAGCTCCATAGTCTTCCCTTTGAGAATGGTAATGCATATTCCATGCCATTGTGTGCTGGAAGTTTGTAATTTGCTTTTTAATTTTATAGTTTAGAGCTTGTTCTTTCCTCTCAGAAGAGACATTGGACTTTTAAGCAGTGTTGAGGCTTGAAGGCTATGGGGACTTTTGAAGTTGCATTTTACATTATAGTATGACCATCTGCCTATGGGGCCAAGAAGTGGAATGTGGTAGTTTGTATGAGAAATGTTCCCCATAGGTTCGTAAGTTTGAATACTTGATCCCTCCCTCCCCTGCCCCCCAGCTGGTAGAACTCTTTGGGAAGGATTGAAAAGTGTGGTGTGTCACTGGGGTCAGGCTTTGAGAATTTAAAGACTCACACCTTTCAGGGTTTATGCTTGTGGTAACAGTGTGGAAGCTGGGCAGTGGTGGCGTACACCTTCAGTCTTAGCACTTGGGAGACAGAGGCAGGTGGATTTCTGTGAGTTTGAGACTATACCCTCTCTTCAAAAAAAGAAAAAGAACGTGTACTCTAGCTTCCTGTTCCCACCACCATCCTGTTGGCCTCTAGCCCCCTGGAATTGTAAGCCCAAATAAACTCTTCTGAGTTGCCTTGGTTATGGTGTTTTATCACAGCAACAGTAAAATAATAAACATGGTAATGATTAAAATTTGAAACTATATATTTGAGACTTTCAATGAATAAATTTTAAGAGCCAATTAGGAATTATTAAATAAATGATATAATAGATAATAAACACAGTTGAGAAAACTCAGACTTGGCAAAGACAGTGATTTACAAGTGAGTGTAGAAGTTGGAGCCATGCAGTGAATCATACCAGCAAATGTTTTCTGACTTAGGAAGTGTTCAGAAGCAGGCCTTTCTGGGTGGCCACCAGAGGGATATGCTGGCCTGTGGAGGGCCCCAAATAAGGATAGCATAATAGAAGACATCTTAATATTCATACTGTATTCTTAGAGACTAACACTTAGATAAGTTTCTATTTCTCTGTACCCGCTTATCTTCCTGTACAGCACATTTTCAAGGCCTGCAGTCCAAGCTCTCACACCCTTCTGCCACCTGGCCTGCATTTCAGATTCCCCCAGCTGCAGACTTGTGTCCTTGGAACATACCCTGCCAAGGAAAACTTCTGCTCCCCCACCCTTCTGCTACCTGTCTTACTTAAGCATAGTTGGTACTTTCAATAAACGAGACTTGATCAGAATACTGTCTTGTCTCTGTCTCTTGCATCTCTTAGGGTCCCCGTTGACCGACCCCGTGGACCGGGGAACTGGCCCTGGGTGAGTGTTTACAGAGGTCCTCCTGACACTCTTGCCCAGAACAAAATGGCTCTGGGAATGTATCTTGGGGCATTAGGACGTACTTTCTTCTGAAGTGTTGAAGGACTGTCTTAGTAATTAACCTTCTTTAGTTCTTGTGGATGTAGAAACCAAATGTTAACTTTCTCCCACATTACCTGGTTATGGGCTGTGTGTGCAGACTCTGAGATCAATAAAAGTAATTTGTTCTTCCATGCCGGTAAGAGAATTATTCACAAGTGAGCCATGCGTACTGTGTTAAGAAAGAATGCAACTCGATGCTAAGGAAGATGTGTTGAAGCATATAAGTAGTTCCTTGAACAAAATTTATAGGTTTGGTACATTTTCAATAAACCAGTCACAATAGTTTATTACAGGAATTTCAGCCAAAATTGTTTAAAATGACTATTTTAAATCTATCAAGCAGAGTAACTACAGACAGTGCTTGAACTAACAAGGTTAAGGTAAGTGATGGCTGTGAGTCCTGAAAGTCATCTCCACACATGTTCTAGGAAGCTTCCCAGCTCTACAGGGGTGGGTCTATGTTGGGAGCAGAAGTTTTCTGAAAATAAATTCAGAGTGTTATATGTTGCCTGAGGTCATCAGAAGTAAAATCTTGTGTTTCAGAAACGTGCATGCAGAAGATCAGAGGCTGGTGGGCTTGAGTACAATAGCCACATGGTAAGCACCTGTACCCTGCTGTCCTGGAGTACAGAGGACCAGGAGCCATGGCCACGAGGCCAGCCTGCACCACAACCAGAGTGTAGCCAGGAGAGGCCGAGCTCAGTGGTATGTGCTTCCTCTTGCCACCACACCCACTAGGAGCCCATAGAATTCATTTAACGAAACCGTGGCTACCCCTGTGCTGATGCATGCATGTCTGTGGTTCATTTAATAGGTTCTGCAGAACGGCGGAAGGAATTCAACCCAGCCTTGCCTGAGATGTATTGCAGGGGAATCTGTAAGTGTGATTTCACTGAGACATAAATGGTAGAGTTCTGCAACATCAGATCTGGAAAAGTTAATAAAATCTGCAATCACATACATAATTAAAACTGAAGGTTGATTTGAGCTTTTTTCTTTTTTCTTTTTCTTTTTTTAGCATTCTGTTGAGGTAAAAAAATGTTCCAGCTTCATATTTGTAACTAGAAATTATAAATAAATTTAAAATTCTTACTAAGAACAGTATTTGTATATGTGTACATGTGTGAAGATGCAGGTGACGAGAATGCAACCTTGAGGAAAAGAAGTTGACCCTCTGCTTGTCTAAAATACAGAGCTTGAAGCTCATCTTGGAGAAGAGACATGACCTTATTTAAATTATCTCAACAGGAGTCAGCATTGGGCTTTCCTCATCTGGTTAAACTTTTCTAGTATGTTTCCATAAACTTTACAAAAATTGTAGATTTCTGAAGGAAACATAGTGTTCACACCATCAGTTCAAAATAAAGGGAGGTCAAAAACCGCCAGTCAATTTTCAGCCTCCGCTGTAGGTCGGAATATCATACAGTATATATTAGCATAATAATGCCTTTGTTATTAATTTTGAACTTACTCTAAGAACAAGTTAATATGTTTTTGATAACCTCTATAATTCTTGGGTTTTTTATTTTAAATTTGAAATCTTATTATTGTAATAAAATTGAACTGTATTTAAATTCCACATAGAAACCAGGAGAGTGAGCATGTGTCTGAGTATGAGTGTAGGAGATTGCCCCCTAAAGATCTTCAGAGAAGTGAATTGCTGTTCCTGATGAACATAAGATTGAGTCTGTAACTTACAGGCATCTTCAGCTGACACAGGACTGGCTGCCAGGTTCTATAATGCCAGGCACTGACTCTGTCCTAGACAGGCCTGATGCCCTGGTAGCTGCCACCCCCATGAACTTGGGTAGCAGGTCATTCAGTTGTGCTTCCTCCAGGAAGGAGTGCTTTGCTTCTTTCTGTTCTCTGTCTGCAGAGCATCATGCCGCATATGTGATATATTTCTCAACAGTAGTCAAATTCACAATGCAGTCATTTGAGTTTAGTATATTTAGGTTGATTCCCATGGCTGCCAAATATACCCTAGGATACAGATAAGTCATACTTTGCTTGAGAATTGTGGCCCCACTGTGGTCAAATAACCTCTGTGGTTGTGACTGGCTGGTTCTCTTTCTTGCCCTGAGCCCCATATCCGTAGACTATAGCTTTCAACTCCTCCTGTCTGTCAGAGGCACTTTTGGAAGTATTGTGAATTCTTAACACTCAGAGAGGTTGTGTTCTGGCATGCATGGCTTAAGGGGGAAAAAAAGAATTAGCTCAAGCGCCTGATTGGATCATTTTGGCTAATATTCTGTTTGAACAACAGTACCTGTTTGCTTAGGGTTTTCCCTTCCTTTGTAATTCCCCAAGCTTGCCTCCTTTAGTTTCATAGGAAATGAATCTATGAGCAGAAAACCTACATTGATATGTAAATATCGGTTTTTTTTTTTGGTTAATGCTCAATATTCTTTTCATCTAAATTTCAGAAACTGACTTTAAAAAATCAGTTTCCTTTTATTTGTAGTTATTCTCAATAAAATTTTACCCAGGCTTGGGCGGTTTAATATTTACACCCACTATTTCTAAAAGTCTTATGTAAATAAAGATTGAAATGTGAATTTGAAAAGTCACACCTCTTGATATTTGAACAGACTATGCTGCATATATCTTCTTCTTCTAATAATATGGCTAGTTTCTCTCCTAAGCTTTTAAAATAATAAGACACTATTTTTATATTCTAAAACATCGAAAGGTTCAGTGTTAAATAAAAAGCAAATAATATTTTTAGAGATGCAGGATCCCAGGGAGCACTACTTAGCAGCAAATCACTGGTGGGCAGCAACTGCAAACTTCAGAGGACTTTATTAAACTCAGGCTCATTCATAGCTGCTTGCCCGCATGCACAGGAGTGCTTCCTTGCCCTCTCACCACTCCCAGCCTGACTCCAATGGCTCCCCTGCCTCTGAGGGAGGCAGGTGCTATGTCAGTTTGGTTCATGTGGAAGTCTGTAACAGCAGCCCCAGGTGTGCCTCTCAGCTTGTTTGGTGGCTTTTCTCCAAAGCTGCTGCGTGACCTAAGCCTCTTGTATGTTTCTGATTATAGTTTGTTGATCCAGCTGATATTTTTTGCTCTGAATCCTAGGCAGAACTGTCCCTGTGGGACCTGAGCTCCTTGCTCTTCAGCTTTTACTTGTTTATTTGAATGTGCATTTATTTATTTATTATGGGTTTTTTGTTTTGTTTTTGTTTTTGAGACAGGGTTTCTCTGTGTTGCTTTGGAGCATGCCCTGGAACTCTGTAGACCAGGCTGACCTCGAACTCAGAGACCTGTCTGCCTCTGCCTCCTAAGTGCTAGGATTAAAGGCATGTGCCACCACTGCCCAGCATGTATGTATTCATATGTGTGTTGTGTACTTGCATACATATGAGCACACATATGTGTTTGGATATGCACGTGTGCGTGTATGTATGTATGTATGTATGTATGTATGTATGTATGTATGTATGTGTAAGCCCAAACTTGACACTGTTTTCCTTGATCATTTTCAAATCACTTCTTTACTGAGACAAGGTCTCCCCCTGAAACTGGAGCTCACTAATTCTGGCTAGTCTAGCTAGCCGGCTTGCACCAAGGATCCCCTATCTCTGCCTCCCAAGTGCTAGGATTTCCAGCAGGCTACCATGACTGCTCATCTTTTCCATGGATTCCTAGGACTGGAACTGAAGTCCTCATGTGTGCATGCTAGTGCTTTGTCAAGCCATCTCCTCGTTCTCTGTCATGGTTTTTAATCACTGAGTTGTTTCTCATGAATGCATGGACCTTTTCTCAATATGTTCTCAGTTCCACTCTGTATATTTTCACTTCAGTCCTTCCATCTGATCCATCCTAGTTCATTCTTACAGTGGTTTCTAGCTCAGTCATTGCTGACATGGGTTCTTTCTTTTGTTTGTTTGCTTGCTTGACAGTCTCAGTATATATTTTGTGCTTGTCCCAGTAGCACTTATAACTTAACCTGTTTCTCTTCATCTACATTTTGCCCTGGGGGCTCTTTACCTTTCTTTCCTTCTGTATGAACTGCTTTCACTGCTTCTTCCCTGTGTGGCTGGCCGGTGGCTGCCTGGCTGCCTAGCCGTGGACATCTCCTTCTCTTTCTCCCTCATTCTTTCTCGAGCCTAGATTGCTTCTCTTACCTATTCTTTCTGCCCAACAGTCCTGTCTATCTCTCTACTGCCTAGCTATTGGCTGTTCAGCTTTTTATTAGATCAATCAGGTACCTTAGGCAGGCAAAGCAACACATCTTTACATAGTTAAAGGAATATTCCACAACAACAGGCTTTCTGTTTGTCTGTGGTAAGATGTACTGCCAAGACGCAACAAGCCCTGCTCTTTGCCTTTGATTTCACCAAAGCTTAGACCCAAGGAGCAGACCATCCCCATAAGACATGTTTCTGGTGTTAGGTGTATGTAATCTATGAGTTCCAGAATCTCAGGGCTTTAGCCCCTCCCCATCCCAGACTGTCCCTGTGTGCATTAGACTACTCTTTGGGTATGACTGTGGCCCATGTGACCTGAAAGACTCTGACAAACTGGGACAAATGTGGAAAACTCAGGAGGCAAAACTGGACATGGTAACACCTGCCTGTAATTGTAGTACTTGGAGTATGGAGGCAGAAAGGCCAGGAGTTCAAGGCCAGCCTTGGCTATATGTGGCATTCAAGGCCAGAATGTTTTACATGAAACCCTGTTTCATTAAACAAAAATAGGGGCTGGAGAAATGGCTCTGAGGTTAAGAGCACTGACTGCTCTTCTGAACTGATTTCAATTCCCAGTAACCACATGGTGACCTACAACCATCTGTAATGAGATCTGGTGCCCTCTTCTGGTCTGCAGGCAGTACATGCAGACAGAACACTGTATACTAAATAAATAAATTTAAATAAAAAAATAAATAAAACCTTTAAATGAGGGAAAGAAATCAGGAGTGAGTTGGTAAGTGGGGGCTAGAGATGTCATGAGGGAAGTCTAAATGGGGACAGCTCTGAAGACTGCAGGTCACTGCTCATGTTGATAACCTCTTGGTTCCTGAGTCTATATGTTCTGCCTGGAGCCTATCTTCCAAGTGTAAGTGTGCAGAAGTGTGATGTCTCTGTAAATACCTTTTAGTTAAAAAATTGTTTTTCACGCTTTGTGGTAGTGATGGCATGATTAGAATGGGGTTCATTAAAAAGTGCTCATCTAGTCCACCCCCAGATCCTGGACTTTTCTCTAGGGGAGGCCACACCACTCCAGTGATTTCCCCAAGCTCCCCTGACCTAATCCCATAGCACACAAGAGCCTTAAAGGAGTCTTGTGAGGATTTGGGGACATGCTGTATTCTCTTTCTAGAGAACAGCTGTTCTGGGCCATGAAAGACCTTGGGCACCCCAGGAAGGACCTTGTTTCTAAAAGGATACCTGTCCTGCTTGTAATTCTTCCAGGACTGTGGGAACGCAGCTGTGTGTCTTATAATCTTTTTGTGTGTGTGTGTGTGTGTCCTATAATCTTTTATGTTCTCATATGATGATCTTTTATGATCCAGGATGTTCTTAAAGGATATTCTTTTATGGTCTTATATGTGTTTGTATGATCTTATATGACATCCTTTGATGTTCTATGATTTCATATTTGTATATGTTCTTATATACTAATATATGATCATGTATGTTCTTGTATGTGCTTATATGATGATCTTGTATATTCTTATATGATGTTCTTTTGTGATCATATGAGTTTTTCTATGATCTTACATATTCTGTGCTAGTTTTGTTTGCTTTTTGTTATCCTGTATATTCTATGATGTTCTCTAGATGTTTTTCTATGATCTTGTATGTGCTTATCTTCTATGATGATGTATATTCTTATATTCTTCAATGATCTTGTGTGTTCTTTATATTTGTTTATATGATCTTCTATGATCTTGCATGTTCTTATGATGGTCTTAGATGCTCTTCTATGATCTCACATGTTGTATGTTCTTAAATGGTGATTTCTATGATCTTGTATGTTATATGTTTGTATATATTCTTTATATCATGTTCTCATATGTTCCCACACATGCTTTTACATGTTCTTGAGTCAACTGTCCACCTTTCTCCATCATGATATATAGTGTCCTCATGACCTCAATGAGGTTGGCCTTCTGGAAAGATAATCCAATCTTGCCTGTGTACTGCATGAACACCAGGCTCCTGTTCCTGGTTCTAGAACATTCTGACCTCAACATTGTTCTCATTGCCTGGGATATCTTCTACATCAAAAGGTAGACACGTGTCTGTCCTAGCTTTCATAGTACTTTGTTCTCATGGCCCAGGTGAGTCATGAGCCATTGGTATAAAATGGGTACATAGCTACATGCCAGTCTTCTGCAGGCAGTGTCTGAGTCTTTCCCATTGGCAGCATTTGCTTTCTGGAGAAGGAATGAAACCCTTGACTGGACTGTCATCTCCTCATTTCCTGAGCACTCAAACATACGTGGACCTCAGCCCCTTCAGGGAATCCATTAGTGTATTCATATGCCCACCCTTCCTTAGCCTGTGGCCAGAGGTACACTGCTGCGTTCCAGAGTACATAGCCAAGTGTGACAGTGACTCTTGGATGTCAATGGGACCTCTTTCTGCACAGCAGTGTGGCACCTGGACACTGTCATCCTTAGTCATCTCATTCTCCCATCTACTTTGTGGGGACATGAGAGGCCTGCTCCAAGAGTGTGGGTGAGTGCCCTAGTGAGGACCATTATGGTCCTGAGCTATTTCCAGATGTCACATGAAGATCAAGCTGACAAGTGCATTTTAAAATTTTATTTTATGACTAGCTGAGTGATGTTTTATTCTTTTTCTCCAAGTAATAAAGGATGTAATGTTTGCTGAGAATATTCTATGTACTAGGTGGCATTAAGAATACTTAAACTTCCTTAGTTACAGTGTAATGCACATTAATGCATTTGTAAGTTATGCCTTAGAAGTCATTATTTACAAGGCCTGGTGTCCCACTCCTATAATCCCAGTACTTGAGAGCTAGCCTAGTGTGTATGTTTCTCTCCCTCTTCCCCTCTCCTGTTATTATATTATTATCTTATTTTTGAGACAGGGTCTCACTTTGAAGCCCTAGCCTGCCTGGAACCATCATACCCATCTTAGTCAACTTACTATAAATGGTGTCCTCTGGGTTGATGATTATGTAGTTGAAGCCTGTTACTGAGTGTGGGACAAATTAATATTCACAATATGTTCTCTCACCATTGCAGGGCCATTTTAACCATACCGGGAATCATTAGAAGATGCAAGCGGGAAGAAGGAAGTTTCCAGTTGGGTTTGAATCCCTGTGTGATGGCCAGTCCAAATCCCTTACAGCTGACCTGGGTGCCCACCTGTTCATTGACAGCCAGGGCTCCCTGCAGGGCTTGTTTGCCTCTCAGCTAATCCCACTTCCTCTGCAGAAGGCCAGAGACATCCAGAGTGTGGTGGCTCATTGCAGCCTCCTTTCTAGTGTGTTCTGCTGGAGAGGAAATTAGCTAGAAGTCAACAAATTCCATATCAAACTGCCTAGAGCTTTTGGAACCTTGTAACTCATGTAATCATAAGGCACAGCTGGAGATCTCCCTGCCTTTGGACTTTGGGGTTTTTTCTAGACATAACCGGGGCTATTCACATGTTCTTTTTTAATTAAAAGACTTATTTTTATATTTAAAGTGCTCTATAATCTTGAAGTGAATTTTACTAAATGTTAATGTTCAATCAAGCTGTGTAATTCTCCAACTGTTGTTATGAGGGACAGAACCTCATTGATATTAAAATGGAAATTTTGGGCAGCTGTTGGGTTTCAGTGTGTTGTGTAACTCTGGAAACTGACCTTGTTTCCCCACATCAGGAGCTGTCCTGTTTGCTGAAGTCCTAAAGAACTGACTGGGTTAGAGAGCTGATTTCACATTCCTTAACTGGAAGCTGAGGTGGGACTCCAGCCTTTCTGCCATGGGTCCATCATGTTCTTTACAGAGCTTGTGTTTCCTGCCAGGAACACATGGAAGAGCCCAGTCCGTGCTAACCCTGGTGTATGGTCATGGTAAGGCCCACGCTGCAGAACTAGAGAAGGGGAAAGCAGGCTGCTGGACCCAGTGTGGTGCCATTTGTGAAGGAGATGCTCCAACATGGCAGGACATGGCTGCTACCCAGGGAAGATACCAGCACTGCTTATCGATGGGCTTAGAGATGGTGGGCTTAGGTTGTAGTGTGTGGCCTTAAAATGTGGAGTTTGTTTGTTTTTGAGGAGTAATAGTTTTGTTTTCCTCAAAAATGACATTAATTTTTATGAACAAATGCAAACCTCATCCGTTCCCACTTTCCTTTTACCTGTAAACTCTGCCCCAGACTCACGGAAAGGGATGTCATGCTTTTGTGCCAGGCGCTCTGGTGCTTGCAGAAGCACACAGTTTACTGAAGTGTCTCTGTGAACCCAGCAGTCCCTCTGACCACCATCCACCCCATGAGAAACATCCCTACTCCATGTTAGAATCCAGAGGACGCTGATTCTGTCTATTGCCTACTGAAAATGTCATGAGTGGCCTTAAAGAACAACCTTAAGTTTTTAAAAATTACATTTAGTATATTTTTATTTAGTGGATGTGGTATGTGTGTGTGAGGAGGTGTATAGTGTGGTGTGTAGTGTGTGTGTGTGGTGTGTGATGTGTGTATGTGGTGTGTTATGTGGTAGGAGGTGGTATGTAGTATAGATGGTATGTGTGTGTGGGTGTGGAGTGTGATGAGTGAAGAGTGTGATGTGTGCATGTGGTATGTGTGATATATGTGTATGGTGTATGTGTGGTGTGTGGGTGTGTAGTATGGTGTCTATTTATGTTTTATGTGTTTGGTGCATGGTGTGTGGTGTGTGTAGGACCAGTTTTCTCCTTCTCCCTTGTGGGACCTGGAGATCAAACTCAGGTGAAGCTTGGCAGCAAGCACCTTTACCCATGGAGCCATCTCTCCAGCCCAAGACATTCTCCTTTGAGCCTCTTTCTCCCCATCTGTGCTGGATGGTGGTGGCACATGAGATTTCCTGTCAGCATTGAAGACAGCACAGTGTGAGGGGCTGGGGAGTCTGCTGTCACAGCCCTTTCCCCTGCTACATGGCTATTCCAGGTCTAGAGCAGGCCTTCTCTTCTGAGAAGCCAGGGCTACGAAAACTTACAAAGGGAAAAGAGCCAGGGCTGAGGTGAGGCCGGCCAGCTTGTGGAAACAAGGATTTCACCTCAGATACCTGGACTTTTCAGACTGTTCAGAGCATGAACACTGAAGAGATGGAACTGGGCAGCACAAATGCTTTCTGGGCATCTTCCCTTTAAAGCAAGCAGAGCTCTGAAATCCCAGACTTGAAGCTTTCCACATTGCCAGCTTCCTGTCCCAGCAGGAATCCACCTGTGGCTGTGCTGTCCTTTGGAGAGTCCTATAACTTGGCTACGCAGCCTCCAGCTAACTCTGCCACTTTCTGCATCCTCCTCTTCACCTTGACCTCACTGGCTCAGCTCTGTAGTTCTCCCTCTTCATGACTATGACTGCTGGTCCTTGGACCCAACCTCTCTCCTGTGGACCACAGAGCTGTCAAGGTGTAGGGACAGGGAGCATTTGGGTAATGTCTTGTTTTAAATGGTCTTTGTATGATTATAAAAACAATACTTACTCATTGTAGAAGAATGGGATAAGAAGTCATTCATGAGGACCATTGCTGTCAGTGGCCTGAAGTAGCTCTTTTTGGTTCTAACAAAATGGCTACCCATTAAGTAGCCTTCACATTATTGGAGGTCATTAGTGTGTGTGTACATGTGTGTGAGCATGTGTGAATGTGTGTGTGTATGTATGTGTATGTGTGTAGGAAAAGGTAATTTTATACATGGGATGAAACAATATACATTCAAGACATACAGATAAGGGTTAGGTCTATCACACACCTTTAATCTCAACACTCAGGAGACAGAGGCATGTGGATCTCTGTGAGTTTGAAGCCAGCCTGGTCTACAAAGCGAGTTCCATGGTAGCCAGGGCAGTTACACAGAAAAACTCTGTCTCAAAAAACCAACCCCCCCCAAAAAAAACAACAAAAAAGTTATATGACTGAGTGGTGGTGGCACATGCCTTTAATTCCAGCATTTGGAAGGCAGAGTGCTCCTCTGAGGCTGTGGATCTTTCTGAGTTTGAGGCCAGGCTGGTTTATGTAGAGAGCAAGTAGGGACAGCCAGGGCTACACACAAAAAAAACCCTGTCTCAAAAGACAAAAAAAAAAAAAAAGTTTATATAAATATCCAGTCAAAACCAACAGGGTATCTCTCTTGAAATGTTAGATGACATGGCTGTGTACTTAATGTCTTAAAATGTCCCCAAATAGCTCTGTCATTGAACAGGAAAGACTAAGCACCCAGAGTCCTTTCTTTCAAATGAAGAGCGAAAGGCAGGAATGAGAGAAAATTTTCAAACTTGGTTCTCTGTTCTTGTGACTTGACCTTTGTTCTCCTCTTCTGGCACCTTGGAAGCCTCCCTGGCCTCTGCTACCAACCTGCCCTTCCTCCTCTGCCCCCACTGAAGCCACCTTCACCTGGGCTTGGCTCAGTCCAAGGCGACCATGTTTCCATCAATTTCACCATCTTCTAGGGTTTCCTTGACAACTTTGGTTCTTCCTCACTATTGAAGTCTATAAAACCAAACCCTTTGGAAGACCCAGTCTCCTGACCAGTGACTATTTTTGCAAGAATAGAGCCCTCAAGTGATTCTTTTAAGGTCTCTTCAATGATTTCCTCCAACAGATCTCTGACAGAGTTGTGGATGGCTGACTTCTTGGATTTGGCAATCCCCTGGGTCCTTGTAATTCCAGCCTGGTTGTTTTGTCCTCAATCTCCATTTTCTTTCAGGAGTTTAAAGCTTTAACATCTTCAAATGAAGCAAATTCTATAAATGCATGCCCTTTAGATATGTCGTTTGGATTCAAGGGCACTTTGATAAAAGTTGTTTTCTCAAATACTTCCTGAAGAGATTCTTCTTTCGCACTGTAGGGAAGTTAAAACCAAAGACTTTGCTTCACTCCAAGTGCTTTTCTTCCAGCTCTCTCTTGCCTTTGTCCTTTCTCTGGTGCAGTAGAGTGAAGCAGATCTCTCTCTCATCAGGCTCTGTCCCCTGCTTTTCTTCAGATGTTTTCTCTGCATCAGCTTCTGCATTAATCTCATGAGCGATCCCTTTGCTTGTCCCATTCTCGCTGACCAATCTGATCTCCATGGCATCTTCAGACACTTCATCCTCAGTGGTGTTGAAAGATGGCTTTTTGGCTAAAGTATTCGTGCAGCTCAAGCTTTCTTAATGCCTCTTTCTGTTCTTTTTTTTTTTCTAGTTTAATTTTATTGCCAAACATTTTTTAAAACCATTGAGCTCCACGACCTTTTCTCAGTCTTCAGCAGACTCAAAATCCACATAACCAACTGTAATGTGTAGCCTTCTCACCAGCTGCTTGGGCCCTGCCAAGCTGTCTGAACCCCCAAATAACACACAGGACACTATATTATGAAGGTGTTGGCCATTTGCTATTGTTTCTCATTGGCTAACTCTGACTTAATTATTGACCTATAATCACCAATATATATTTTTATAAGGATTTATCTTTCTGAGAAATGCAGACTTGCATCGCTTCTTCCTGGGAATCACATGGTGGCAGCTTCTTCACTACATGTCCCAGAATCCTCCTAGACTCCTAGTTCCACCTATCTTGCTTCCCTATTGGCCAACTGTGCTTTATTGACATATACACAGGACTTTCCCATCAACCAACTTTCCTGTTTGTACTAGTTCTAACACCCACATCAGCAAGGTCAGTCTTAGGAAAAAGTTCGCTGGTGGCAACTTTTCACTCAGCAGCAAATTTGCTGGGATTAAGGTTCCAGTGAACAGGTTGAAATGTGTGGTTCTGAGCCTTCCACTTTCTGTTTCTTGGTTTCAGGAGCTTCTTTCTGTTTGGTCATTTCCTTTTTTTGTTTTCCAGCTGCTGCCTTAATAGGCTCCTGGTCTTTTTTCTCCTCCTCCTCCTCCTCTTCATCTTACTCCTCCTCCTCTTCATCTTCCTCCTCCTCATCATCATCTTCATCCTCCTCCTCACCTTCCTCCTCCTCCTCCTCATCTTCATCCTCCTCCTCTTCCTCCTCTTCCTCATCATCTTCCTCCTCCTCCTCATCTTCATCCTCCTCCTAGTCACACTCCTGGCTTTCACAGGAACAACTTTTACAAGCGCTTTCTCCCCTTGGCCAGTGTGATCTCCATAGCATCTTCTTCAGATTGATCTTTCTCCTCATCCTCCATCCTGAGGCAGGAACAACGGCTGCTTTCTCTGGTTTTACTGCTGTCACAACTGGCAGCTCAAGTTCATCCCCTTTATCATCCTCATCACCGTCATCTTCATCTTCCTTATCCTCTTTGCTTTTTGGCATCCTTACCATTCTTTGGATGGAGTGACCGGCACCTCTTTTTAACAGTTGCTACCGATGCTTTTGCTACCTTCTTTGTTAGACTTGTGGTAGCCTTCTTGCCTTTTTTTTCTGAGAGATGACAACCTCTTCTCCACTGCTCTCATCGTCATCATCTTCTCTATCTTCCACCTCCTTTGGGGGAGGAGCCATTTTCTTGGAGTCACTGTGAATTTTTTTCTTTTTTTTAACCAGCCTTTGTGAGTTTCATCATAATGGAACGTTATGACGACGGCGGCATGTGTGGCGAGAGAGCAGCGAAAAGAGACTAGGAAAACTCAAGCAATTCCTATGGCAAGCTTAGCTGAGGACATGAAGAC